CTCTCTCAATTCTCTGTCTCACTGACGTCGTCTGAAAAATACACGTGCTTTGAAAGCGAGAGAGGAATGGAAAGAGAGTTTTCACATGTTTATGTGCTCTGACTTTCTTTCTGGGTAAATAACATAAACGTTCTTATTTTGACACAAAGAAACTTATTTCGTGGCTTTTCCACTTCTTTGTATATGTAAAAAAAATAAAAATAAAATGTGCAACCCCCCCCTTTATTCCCGAACAGAAATGCAATAAAAAAACATAAGTCGTCGTCGTCGTGTGCGTTTTTTCTCCTTTCCTTTCCAAAACTATAAAATTTCTTTCTCTGTCTACGTATGTATGTATATTTGATGATGTGAGAGTGAGTGCGTGTGTGTGTGTTTTTTTTACACAATACCAATTCGATCGTTGTTGTTGATGGAAGCAACTAAAATTTTTTGATCATTCATTCCCTCAGATTTTTTGTAGACAAATGATGAATATTGAAACATTATTACAAGCGGCCCAAATTTTAGAAAATCAACAATCGATACCGCCAAAAAAACGTCTAGCTATTGCCAGAGGTATGTAGATATTTTCAGAAATAGAAAGAGAGAGAGAGAAAGAGAAAATCCTGAAGTAATGCAGATGAAAGAAGAGAAATCAAAAAATAATTAATCGATTATTTTATTGTGAGTTAAGATTTATTTTGTAAGATCATTTATTTGATAAGTTTAACAATTTTCAAATATCTCGATAAATAAGTCATTTTTTTCTCATATTAATCTAAAATGTGAACTTTCAGTGAATATTCTAATGTAATTTCTTTTTCTTTTTTTATCTTCTTCTTTTTACAATTCAACTACGTTTAAAATAACCTCCAGAGGTCATGAATAGAGTAAAGAACTGACAATAAGTGAAAATAACATATTAATGTGTTATTTAAATTAATTTTAATCATAACTGAGATAATATTCATCATTATTATGTTAAACTCTACAGTAGAAATTTAGTTCCGTAGATCAAGATCTTTTATGAAAATTATAAATTAAGTGCTGTATAGTTTTATGTACACAAGAAATGAAAATAATCTATTTGAAAATGATTAGTAAATGGTACGATTGTTGTTGTTGTTTTTTAAATTTAAAAGATTAATTAAATGATGAACAATCTACAACAACAACAAAAAAAATGTAATTTTATTACAATTTGTATCTTTCAAATTCTTTAATTTTTGAAAATTTTATATTGTCGTAGTATTATTATCTTATGCTAAAAGTAATAGTTCTTTTTCTTTTCTTTTTTTTTGAAACATCTTAAAACATTAAAAGTATTGTCTTTTGTCATTTATCACTTTATTTAATATTCGTTGAGAGAGAGAGTACTTCATGATTCATTTTTGTATCCATGTGCTAATTATACACGAATCAGAGTTTATGTAAGAACAAATGAATTTTTCGTTTAATAAAAAACAAAACAAAAAAAAAACAAAACAGAAGAAAAAAATGGTCATGGAAAATAAGAGAAGAAAAAAAAAAGAAGAAGTATCTGTTGATATTTTTTTTTGTTCTTCTCCGTTTAGTAGCCTAGAAACAATTTTGAGAACATTTTATGTGGGTGTATTTATATATATATGTATACACGTACACACACACACACACACAGATGTTTTGTTAGAGACGAGAGTTCATCATCTGTTTTTTATATCTAAGAATTGATTGAGTATTTTTAAAACAAAATTAATTATACAAAAGAAAATAAAGGTGCTATATAATTTTCTCTTTTTCTTTTGTTTTATATACTATACATTTTATAGAAAACAAAAATCGATCAATTTTGTTATTATTTAAAAAATAATAAATTTTAATATATAGATTTATGTTTGATGAAATTGAATGAAAGATATATTATTGATAATAATTTTTTACTTTTTTTTGTTCGATAAATTTTCTATTGAGATAATCATTCGATTTTCTTTTGATTATGAATAAAACACAAATTATTAAATGTTTAAATTGATTTGAAAGAGAAAATATTTACTATTGTAAGTGCAAAATGGTATCGTTTACTGTTAACAATAAATATAATATAAACGAATAAGGTATTAAGTATTATTATATAAATAAAGTGGAATTATATTTTCATACAAATACATAATAATTGTCATATTGCGATTCTAATCAAAGATGTATCCAAGTTGAGAACTACTCTTTCTTCTAGAAGATTTTTTTTGCTACACATTTCACTAGATACTTGATTGTTGTTCCCTTGATAAGTTGCTGGAATAGATCGATCACTAATACCAATATGGATACTTTTCGATTACTTTATTTTCTATTGTCTTTATTATTTATTATTTTTTTTCTGACTTTCTGCTATCTATCGAGTACAAGATGTGAATGATTTAATATTTTGTTAAATTTAGCGTCGTACATATTAAATGTTAATGATTCTAATTATTTTTAGTTTAAGTGATCATCATTCAGACTAGATCATCTATTCATGTAGAATATCTAGTTATATAAATTTATTTTTATGAAATGTTAAATAGTTTGTCTCTAGTTACCTGTCCCAACATTTGTATATTGCTAAGATTTAACGCCACCTACACTTATAGAATCAACTAATTGTCAATATATTTTCCATACTATTCAGATTTTCGTAGAAAGGACTATACAATTAAAAACAAAAGATAAAATAGATATGACGTCAATGTGTATACGCGTATTTTTGTTGCCCTATTTTCGATATATATTTTTTTTTTTCATAAGTTATTCTATTTCAAAAACAAAAATCGTCTTTTCGTGTGATTAATCAACTGTAAAAATATCGTTTGTACTACTATGTCGATGTATTCTTTAACTTAAATCCATTGACGTCAAAAAGTTTAGAATTTTTATGACAAAATTTTGTTTTAAAGACAAATAGAAGACAAAGCAGTGATGCATAAAATAATTGAACAACAACATTACAGACGTGAGTTCAATATTCATTTTTTTAAAAAGTATTCTAAAAAAAAAACGAGTAAAAAATAATTAAGATTATTTGATAGTGTACGAAGAATTTTATCTCATGTCATGAAGTTCGATGTGCTGCTGAAACAAGTTTTGAACTATATTTTATTATAGTTTTATTATTTATTTGCTAATGTATGTTGTTGTTCAACATATATCTACGAATTGTATAATTTTCTAGATGTTTTTTCGCGTCAAACGACGCTGATTTTTTATTATTAAAGTGAACTCAATTTTTTTTTCTCCGTATTTATAAATAGTTTAATAGTCATAGTTTTTTAAGATATAACTCACTCAATAAACGAGTTCCACTTAAAAACATCCATTGGTACTCTGTTCGCTAGTAGTCTAAAAGAAAGAATCGATGAATTATAGGTAGAAACTCTTTTTTTCAAATTATCTGTGATATATTTTATGCACAAAGTCTTTTTAGAACTACATGCTTACCAGAGATCGTCTCTGGCCACTTTTTGTCGACCCGACCTGTATGTGGACCCAATAACCTTGACCTAGTCTAAGCCGGTCCGGCCCATAAATTTTTCGGAGTGATCCCTACAGAGCGGATGGAAAACATTCTACGAGTCGGCTTACGGGCTATCCCATAGTATCTAGATTACTATGAGAAACATAGATATTAAAAGCGCTGGGATTTCAGTAATAATACATCAGTAGATGTAAGTTTATTGAAACACGAAATCCATTGATTTTCTTTGTATCATCCATTAGTTTGTTCAGTAATTTTGTCGACTTTTTCGGAAAAAAAAGCTCGGCTCGCATGTGGGTCTTCAGATTGCAGGCCGATTTGGTCCGAAACAGTTCGTTCGGTTTGATCTCAAGGATTTTCTCGGCCCATGACGATCTCTGATGTTTACAATAAATAAAACATTGTTCAGAATTGTTCTTATTCTATAGTTATGATCTTCTAAAGTAGTACTAAAAACAACAGAATTATCATTGCTTTTCAAAAATATAGAAAAACAAAATTGTTTCTTAGATAACTTTTTAACAAGAAAAAATATGAATCTGCCGTTTTCACCACTTTATAAGTTCAACTTCACTAATACAGATTCCTGTTTTTTCTTGTTAAAAGGTTATCTAAGAAAGAACGATATTTCTGATATTTTTGAAAATGATCGTATAGTAGTACTTACTGTTCTTCACTACCATGGAATCGAAATTGTTTAAAGAAAAATACATATGTCAAATTTTTTTAACCATTATAAATTCATCTGTTAAATTTGCTTGAAAAAGTTTGTTTATTCTTAAAAAAACAGTTGAATTGATTTCTCCGATTTACTATCACTAATCGTTTTTCTATTTATAATACATTAACATTTTCAGAATGTACATAGTTTTTCGTATTCAATTAATTTCTAACATATGATTGATACTATAAAATTTAAGACTCTCTATTTTTTCAATGAACTTACGATTACAACATCTTCAATTGGTAAAAATATAAAAATGAAATCAATTCTTTTTTTGGTATTTGATAGTAATATGTACTTGATTTTATAACTGTGTGTTTTTTCTTTTTTTTTTTCTACAGCAGATTAGGATTGTATAAAACATGAAATATTTATTCTGTATATTTAATTTCTCTTGAGTTTTATTGATAATCCGATATATTTTTCATAAATTTTTATTTTTTTTTTTCTTCTGTCGTATGAATATATATATATATATTTTTTTTTTCTCAAAAATAATCGAACAAACTTGTACAATTTCTTCTTCTTTTCGAAATATAACTGTTCGATATCTGAGATTTTTTCTAGGACGTATCGAGGGGTGACAAAATACATACGTACTATGTTCAACTTTTCTTCTTCTTTACACACTCACTATTCAGGTCTTTATATACCTTTTCTTTTATTTGATCTATAGACCTTCTTTTGAAGAAAAAAAAAAAAATAATAATAATAATAATAATAATAATACTTTTCTTTACTTCTTTTCTTTATATATATATATATATATTTTCAAATACGTATTTTTTCTTTTTCTTTGTTCTACCAGAACCTTGTATAGCTGAGACGCATTTCTATAGAAGATTGAGTCGTGTATACATATGTACACACGCATTTAGACGTCAAAAGAAAAAAAAAAAAAAAAAAGAAGAAAGAAAACCTTTATAATGATTGCTCATCAGTATTATTATAACTACGATTATTTTTATGTAATAATTGGAAGAAAACTATCTTTATCTAACCAGTTTGAGAAAGAAAAAGAGTAGATAAAAGATATTATACGTAACCTATTTATTACTAGTAACAACTTATAATGATGATGACTATGAATTATATTAACAGCAATTGTGGAAGTAAGTGTTATGTTGTGTTCTGTTCTTTTCTTTATTCTAAAACACTATGTAAAATTGAATATTTCCTATTCTTTTTTCTTCTTCTTCTCTATTTGACATTTGCAGGTGTGACTGTATAAAACAGACGTCTACTTCTTCGAATAATAATCAGTAGTTCAATAAAATTAGATGTTTGAAAAATAATTGTAGAAAAACAACAAAAAAAAAAAAAAATTAGTGAACAAAATATGTTTTTCAAATATGAATTTCAAAATGAATTTTGTTAAATTTTCTATTCTATACTAAAAATAGAAGAAGAAAAAAAAAAGGTGAAATCTGTCTATAATTAAAAATTGTGAATCGTAATCGAAATCATTTTGAACATAAATTAACCATCTTTCACTGTAGAAATGCGTTCATATTGTAATATTTTTTTCAAAAGTAATTTTAGTTATATTTATATATAGGAATAAATTAGTCTATTTTTTGTAATTTGATAAGAGTATTTTATTACGTATTTAAACAATATTTAAAGAAATTATTTTTAACGACATATTTTTTATGTATTTTAGGTGTAAATTCCAGTTCATCGTCCACAACTTCGAATCATCAAGACAATAACTCAGTTGTTGTACCAATTCAAATTAAGAGTGAACGACTCTTATCGACTGATACAGATTTAGAAATACCTGATAATTTAAGATTAAATTTAAATTCTTTAAATGGTGGTTATCATTCATCGAGACAATCATTAGATGGAGATAATACAAGTAGACACAGTGTTGGAATTGGAGGATGTGATGATAATAACAATCAACCAAATCAATATAATGAAAATGAAGGAATAGGGAATGATTCAGCTAATAAGTATATAATATATATAATTTTCTCGTTACTATAAGTATTTTTAAAACTATTTTTTTATTATAGGACTCAAACATGTTTTCGTGATAGAGAAATTCATAATCGATTAGAAAAACATAGGTAAAATTAATAATGTTTTTTATACTATAATTATTGTACATGTATTTGTGAATACTGCAAAAAAAAAAAAAAATTATTTACTTTTAATAATATTCAAGTCATATGGCAATGTTTACTTTATTTTTTTATTCTTAAATTTTTATTTTTATTTTAGACGAGCACATTTGAAAGATTGTTTCGATCATTTAAAAACTGAAGTACCATGTCAACGTGATAGAAAAGTAACAAATTTACAAATATTAAATATGGCAATTAAATATATTCAAGTAAAGTTCTAATAATATATATTTTTGTGCTAAAAAGCCATATATATATATTTCGTTTTCTTCTATATTTAGACATTAACTCGTAAAGAACGTGAATATGAACAAGAAATTCAAGTATTATCGAGTAGGCATGTTGAATTACAACGTCGTTTGAAAAAATTAAAAGATGAACTAAATCAAGATGGTCATGATGTTGATCAATGGTTAGATGCTTGTTCGGATGCTGATCGTTCAACGTCAACAAATACTGCGAGTGAAGCAGAAATGTATCGATCATTTGACGGAGATTTAGATCATTTAGACGATGATAATCATAATCATGATGAAAGGAGAGGAAGAAGAACAAGAGATAATCAAGATAATGAATCCACAGACAGTCTAGAATTTAATGAACAGTCGTGTAAGTATAATAAACTTTTTTAAATGTTAAAAAATTGTTTGCTCTTGCTAAAAGTGCGCTTTTTGAATATTAATGAAAATTACTCTGTGACCATCTAGAACATTTACAAATATATGTCACTACAAAAAAGCATACATTTCATTCACAAAACTAGAGATTTCAAATACTTGTTGAGTGTAGAATAACTCAATAACAAAATAATTAAGAAATTCATAATATCTCATTCTTTTTGATTTATTTAGATAGCGTCGAAGACTTATGTTTTCGTCCAGTACCCAATTCTACGTCAACAGTTGTAAAACCGACTCAATTAAAACAAAAATCTACTTCCAATCACAACCATCAACTTCAAACATCTCATAAAACATCACCTTTCACTCATAATAGTGACAATAATTATTCATTACAACATCGTCGTCGTTTAAATCTCAATGAGCAGCCAGCGGCAAAACAATCTTCATCTTTAGCATCCGTCTATTCTCGATTATTAGCTACAACAGCCTCAACTACGCCGACGTCTCCAAACTCAATATCTCTGACCAGTATTTCGGCTACTCAACCATCATCACTACCTCAGTCAACGAATACAAATATTTTGAATATAGCCGTGCCATCAATACAAAATGACATCCGCTACGATATTGTAGACTTATTCACAAAAGGTATGTTAAAAAGAAGGATTGTCGACTTAGCGTAACAAAAATAAAACCAAAATTTTAAATTTGGACTTAAAAATCAGATTACTGCAGAAATCTTAGCATGGAGATTCAGAGAATGATATTTTCGATTATTTTATGTATACTAACCTTTAATTTAGGTACAATATCTCCTCAAACTCAATCGCAAATGGCCCTGTCACAAATTTCACCATTACCCTCAATAGCCAGTTTAATGCGTTCATCTTTACAAAATTCTCCACAGGGTCAACAATCAGCCGCATCGCCCTCTGCTCCATCACCAACAATTCAAAAACATACCATAGGTATAAATACCGACAATCAATATCTGATTACACCTTCAACAAATTTACTCACACAGCAACAACAACCAACAACAATTGTTGTCTCACAATTAAGATCAACATCACCGTCGACACAGCAGCAACAGTCACTTGTGGTGACAACGACTTAAACAAATTTATTTTCCATTTTTTTTTTCTTTTTGTTTATTTTTTCTTTTGTATTGTGTGTGCATGTGCATATGAAGATATATGATGTAAAACGACGTTCGTAACACTATATATATTGTGTAATTCTCTTTTTCTTTTTCTTTTACTTTTACGATTTTTGGTATTTGCTTTATTTTGTTTTTGAATAATAAAAAAGTATGTTTGAACTGTGAAAGTAAGCACATTAAGTTATTATATTCGACAGTAAACTGTGAACAACATTAATAACAAATATAATTGGAGAACTTTTTTATTCAAAGAATCCTTAATCAGAGATGCTAGGTTAGTGTGTTAAATGAGAAAAGGTGTATGCAATAGATGGCGCTATGGTACGGTGAGTCAGCGAAAGCAAAAAAAAGTTGTTCCCAATAGGTGAAAGTTCTAGAGTTGAATAAACATGAAAGAACTACACCGAAACAGATCCTTAGCCAGTGAGTATCTATGAGTGCGGAGCTGAGAGGTTCCAGAAAACTTTTGAAGTTCAATCAATTTCTGAGTTATTCGGTGTGTGAAACGTTGTGGCGTGTCTTCAGACAAGAAACAAGGAAACCTGAGAATCTTCCAAGGACTTCACAAAACTTTTACACTGCGGGGTGTAGTAAAGCTTCCGACTATCTGATTGAAAGTAACGTGTGGAAGCGTGTTTAATGCCTAAAGTATTCTAGCGTGTTGCGTGAAGGTCCACAACTTTTTGCGAGGGTCAAACGAAGGGGGGTAACAGCTTGCTTCGTATTTGTGAAAAAAAAAATGTTGCGTAACAGATCGATGTACTCATGAGTGTTGTGTAACGCAGCTTAAGTCAAGGGACGGAGCACCATGCAACACAACTAAACCCATAGTAACGACAGTCGTTGGCCGTACGACTATATTCTACAACTAAAATTTCCACCATCAAGCGCTGCTTTCTATTAGTTTCACGTGACTAACGTCCATTTCAAAATAAAGTGCAGTCGGTTGTTTGTTGAATAACTTCACAACGCTGATAGCTATCAAGTTCAGGTTTTCACCGTTAGAAAGAGCATGATTGAGGACATGTCACTATCTGAGAATCAAAATCCCTGAAAAGTATTCTAGAGGTTCTTCTGCAAAAACCGTTGACTGCTTCCTTTGACCACATGTATTCTTAATTTCGATTTAGCCATAGTGTAGTCCAATGACTACTCTAGTATTATTCGCAGGACCGACCTCTCTATCGCTTATAGTACTCGGTTGGCAGACATTTTCCCGAAACATACGTATTATTCCCTAACATTACGTCTGCCAACCTCAGAGACAGCTAGAAACATATGTTACCGACCACGCTGAGTCTCGTATTTTCAGAAGTAAGTTCACGAACCCACTGAGAACTTGTTTTAGATGAAATAACCCTTGTTGGGCCACTTACAGGCAAATTCAAAACATTCATCGTCCGCTCAAAATCGCTCCCAACTACTTGAGAATATCAACATGTATTCGCTTTTATCTGCGCCAACCTGGGTTATTTCATCTAAAACAAGTTCTCAGTAAGAGACTATGGCTAAATCGAAATTAAGAATACATGTGGTCAAAGGAAGCAGTCAACGGTTTTTGCAGAAGAACCTCTAGAATACTTTTCAGGGATTTTGATTCTCAGATAGTGACATGTCCTCAATCATGC